TACCTGTCACAAGAATGTACTTGAGCGTTTCCTACCCTCGCTGCCGGCTCTTCCTTCAGGGTTTCAATAGCACGGCTACCAACGACTAGCGACTTGTGTGAGGAAAGCTGACGGTCCTTCTCCGGGTCCGCAAACCATATACCGCTTCGAACAACTGATGAATGATCCATTGCGAGCGATACAAATCGGTTGGTGCCCTTAGCCTTGTAACAGATACGGTACAACGCGTTTGAAGAACCACACTGTGCATGGCATACACTTAACTTGCACTGTCGAGGTCACAGCTGGAAGTGTTCAGCCTCTAACAAGTCTGACCTCTCACATATGATGCCTAGGCGGAGAACGCAATGCGGCCCGACCTTTTACCATGGTGCTCCCCCACCAGGTCACGTTCCTCAGTCGTACGCGACTGGAGCATGCAGAAACGGTCCTGCTGAGGCTCGGGATGGATAAGAACTGTCTCCGCTGTCGTGATAGCTTGTTGACACCTAATTAGATGTCACGGAAAGCGGCCTTTGCGGAATTAAATGAAAACGCATGTGCATTCCATAACAATAACTGAGATATCCCTCTTCCGATGCCTTCATCTTGAGCAACGCTACGATTTTTGGCATGCTTTCAACACACGGGCTTGTCATTCGGTAGCTATTCGAAGAAGCCACGGACCCAGGGCCCGGAAGAAGACGCCGACGGTGGCAGCGACGGATTGTCATAGACGGTTATATCGTTGCTAATTGGTAGGTAAGTTTGAGCCTTACGGAAGATCCGCCGAGCGAGTAGTTTAAACTCAACTGCACTATGCAACAGGGCCGCAGTATTCAACAGCCGGTAACGTTGTCTAGAACCTCGGCTCTTAAAAGACATCCCGAAACATGTCGATGAAACTTTAGACCCAACACTGAAAAACAACAGATGAAAGACGTTAGGAACTGGCATAAAAGCAAGTCAACAAAAAATACAACCTTCCATACCACACGGATATTTTGCACGACCGCGCGCTCAACCATAGCGACGCCGTGTTTCATGTTGGTTTGCGTTCGGCTGGCTGCTCGCGAGTCTCGTCTATGGCCACCAGGCTTGTGACCGGTGACGCATGACTGCGCACTAGCCCCGCTCATATCTGATCTGGTATCGGCTGTGTGGGAGAGCGCATGGCGGGTCGGCACGGGTGCCTGGATGCACTGCTTCTGTAGAAAATGTGGGGGTGAGGGGCTGACCCGGGCATACGCGAAAAGCGCATTTCCCGCGACTGGTGCTGATCTTTCGCAGTTGTTTGCTTCTTTGATGAGCACTTTGAGAAGAGTTGACTATAAAATCGGGTTGACGCGGAATAAATGACGCGCCGAGCACGAGTCTGGACCGGCAGCTCCGGCGCCGGAATCAGGAATCGCGGCGCACATCCCTCGCCAGAGACAACGGCCTTAATTCCACCGCCATTTACACATAAGATTGGCGGGTCCTGGGCTGGGGCATATCATCAAGTGGCAATCCCACTCTATCGTAATCGCAAATCTCGCTCAACAACGAAGCATTCAGCTCCGACAATAGTGCACCGGCCTCTTGACTTAAGGAACCTCCACTTGAAGTTTGCCAATGTTAAAGGTACATGTGGGCGGCCATGACGAAACGAAGACTTCGCTAGGGCTGATAATGACTTGATGTATGACACGCCCGAATGCACCATAAAGCAGGGTATGTCCCGTTGCTCACAGCAAACTGCCATTAGACTCGCCGCCTGCGTACTCAACTTCCCATGTTGGGGTGCCGGTAGTGTAGTGGCTAGCGCGTCTGCGTTGGCTACTGCGCGTCTGGGAAACCAGAGGTACGGGGTTCGATTCCCCGCGGTGCCCGCCCTTCCTGCCAGGGTGAGAGGCAGGCGACGCCATATAGCCTCAGCAGCTGAGCGCGTCATAAAGCCCCAATCAACTTCCCATGTTGCACCATCCCGACCTTTGAGAACGAGGTCATCGCTAACTGGCCTGACATCACAAGAAGTGAAAACTTCGAGTTCATCGCTGATGCTTATTTTAGCCGACCCACGGTTCATTGTCGTCCGCCATACGTTTCAAAAGATGCCCTTCAAAGAACGATGTGAAACACCAATAATAACAAAAATGGTGCGATGCACAGAAAATGACAGGTTCGCTGGAAAATATGTTCTTGGATAAGATATGTTCAATCAAAACTAGCTATAATTCCCCAAAGCCCGTAGCTGTAGAACGTCAAGACATGGTGGGTGAGCTTTCACCAAATATCTAGACTGGTATAGTCAATCAATTCAGTCGACGACGAGGCGGGGTGAAATATTCACAATGCACGAAAAAGACATGATATACTACCAGGGATGTAACTTTCTTAGATCGTTTGGGGGGGGGGGGCGAAGCCCATAAAGTTCATCTAAACTACCCTCAAATACCGGTTTCCCCTCGTATTTCGGCCTCCCTGTTGACGTCCTTGATATCAACAACAAAAATACTTGGTCGGTTCCAACATTGTTTTCACGTCAGTCTCCCATTGAAGGCGATGTGATAGTGATAATGATCATACGTAGTGATGACGATGATACGCACAGTGATACGTTCAGGACCCAGCGTATCAGCGGTTCAGATACTCCCTGCTGTCCCAGTATTCCCTCTTTTGCTGATGCGCATTAGGGAACTCAGAAGAGCATGGAGGGGGCTTAAGTAGTCAGTCAGGAGCTCAGGCCTCTCGACAGTATATCAAGCGACACCCCTGTATACCACTGACGTCACTGAGCAAGTCAAGATGTGCTGTGAGCCCGATGCGTGATGGGCACCAATCACTGCTGCGGGCTCCAGATCCTCCAACAATGTTAACCCGCATCACTGGCTCGAACAGAAACACTTCACACATGGCAGGCGCACACATCAGTGCACTTCATGGAGTGAAGAGTGCCTTGACGTGATGCAGTAGCATTCGGCTGCCGGACGTCATGAGCATAAGATTCGGCTGCATCATGGACAGTCGTGATGCATCAACACCCTAATCGACACCGCGAGCACGTGTGAACGGGCGAGACCCTTTCATGTCATCAGAACATGCCATGCTGTGGGACACTATCCTGATCATGAGCACTAGTGACGCAATGGGCCCCTATCCCGACCCTCAGCACTCGTGATGCAGTGGGACTCTGCCCGCATCAAGAGCACCCGAGCCTCGCGGCGACTTTCCCACGAAGTGACCGGCGCGCTGTCGGGCGAGGGCAGCGAGTGCAGCCGAACACATGACAGACACCAGCGACAGGTCTCCGTTTGACTCCCTCTCATACTTCAGAGCCTTGCGTTGCAATGTACCCAAGAGCATATGATTGCGCGCTGCGCATGTGGAATAATTTTGACAATAGTTTGCGCGGCTCAGTGTCATTCTATCTCACCCTTTCGGCCGCACTTCAGATGCGGTTCGTAGCGCAGCAAAATGGCAGGATGCACAATGTCCGCGCTCACGATTCGGAACTGCGTTGCGTGTCGAGCCGTAAACCCGCTGGGGCCGAGCCGTCCAGTCCGCCCGTCATCAAACCCGCTAGGGGCGACCGCGCAGCGCACCACTGGCACCCCGCCTTGAGCAACACCAGGAGCGAGTAAAGCACTAGCATGCTGTTTCACGCACTTCGTGGCAAATGGACTTAGTCGTCGTGCGATGTAAAAAGCCTTTGAATCCCTTATCCGGCATCGAATGATGCGCGCAATCGCTCGCATCGCCTCTGCAATCGCCTCTTCATTGGTATATCCACACATATGCAACGTGCCGCTGGAACGTCATATACAATAACTAAACAAGACTGATCTGAGACTGATTTCGTTGCTATTATATTTCTCGCCACGAACGTGCATGACGGGAAAGGGCGTAAAATCCAACAATGCATACCAATGGCTTGATTTGTTCCGTTGCGGCACAGTCAAAGTACCCGTGTGGGTGGGTGTTGTCCGTGTGGAGCCAGTATGGATAGTCCGTACCATACCACGCCATGTACCATACCGTACGATAGCGCACCGTACCATACCATGTCATGCCATACCATACCCGTACCACATGTCCGGGCGAGATGAGACAGTTGCGCTACCAGGGTGTAACTAACCAGCGTAATTGACACGCCCTTAAAACTCAGTAATAACTGACTGCACCTCGGTTCAATTGATGCCACCAAAACAACGAAATTCCTCTCCGTGAAACGCGCAACATTTTTGACAGGTCGGAAGAGCAATAGTAACGGGCCGAAAGATGCCTCACAAATGACTACCGAGGGCGGGACACGGACCAGGATCAGCTCCACGTCCAGCACAAGCTGTATGAGACAGCCACACCGCCCAGCATTTCGCCGGCACTCGGCCAGACCGTCGCCCCACAATGGAATACGTAACCGGGCCGGGCGCAACTATAAAGACTTCACACGGAAGCATGCAACCAAGACTTGACAAGAATCCGCGCGAACGCCTACGACGCCGACACGAGGCCGAGACAGCCCTGACAACGAGGCCTGAGCCGGCACGTCGCTGCCGCGCACGGCGCCCCGTCGGCCCGCTGAGTGTGCGCACACTGAGCTCAATCGGTCCGGAGACAGTGCCCCAGTCCAGGGGCGGCGCCATCCAGAACCACGACTGAATGGGACTAAGCGCGGCTCAAACATCCCAGACATGGAAACCATCTGATCGGTCGGCTGCCTCCAGCTCATCGGCAAATCACTCGGGGCTTAACGGTCTTCGTTTCTGGGAACACACCCCCTGGCAATGAACAAGCGACCAGATATGATGCGGCCCAAGAGCGAGCTATTGTGAGCTACGTGAGAGATGGAACTTCAGTGTTCCGCATGTCAGTATTATTTATCGCGTAACTTGCAGGGTCGGAGCACAATTTAAAGACGCTTGATCACTCCGTGACTGCGAGCGTTGAACCATGGCTGTAACAAACATGCAATTGCACACGGCATTGAACGCATATTTGAGGCGTCACTCATCCAGATATAGCATTCCTCGTGATGCCAGTTACATGTACTCGTAGTGTCGCCAGGGGCCGGTCGGCACCGGCGAGTTCAGGTACTGGCTGCCAACACCGCGACAACAGACAGACTACACCCGACCATGCATCGCCACCCCGTTGCTGGCATGCTGACCGCTACAACCAGTCGTTCTACCACCAGTCAGTCGTTCTACCACCGGATATTCTGCTCTAAGCTTATCAGGCAAACAGTACCACAAACCTGCACCCAGTCATGCAGCTTCCAGTAATTAAACGACCCACTCCGCAGAAACAGCATGTCTCACTTCCCCTTCCATATCGCTGGAATATCACACCACCGTTTGGTTCTTCGCACCAGACATCCCGGCTATGTGGCACAGGCACACGGCCCGCGAGCAGCACCGATCGGTCGCCCTATTACACCGCCAGGTCACTGGTGCCTGCCTGGGTCCACACACCCAGCCGAGCTCCACACAGGCCTCGGCCCAGTGACTGACCTCTCCCGAGGGCCGAACGACACAACGTTGCACGTGGCGTTTCCTGACGTATGAAAACCCTTACTCGTTTCGGTTATTTTCGTCACCCGAAGTTTACGAACAAGTCCTGCGGACGGAATGAATCAAACTAGGACACTACATGGAATGGATTTGCTGCCACGTTTGACTCCCGCCTGCCCTTCAGCGCAGACTGAGCTAGCCGCGCTCAGATTGCCTGCGTCGATGCACGCGTCGGCGCATCTCTGGTGTTCCGTTCAGCCCGCGATCAGGAGGGAGCGGCGGGTGCGGAGGGTGCTGCTTAAAGCAGCCCCAGTAATGCAAATATGGTTTATGTTATCGAAAATGACTCATATAACATGAGAAAAGGGATAGTGGGCCAATCTTCACTTTGTGAATTGTTCCCTCAACGACTGCAGTTCCGGCACTACAGCAAAGTCTCCTTCTCGAGAATACAAACTGTCGCCCATGGGCAGGCATGAGGACGGCAGTCACAAAGATCGCAGCCACGAAGCCATGATTACAGCTGTTCCTCGCGGCTCGTTGACCCCCGGACAAGGGCGACGCGTCGGCCGCATCTGCGCAGCTCGCCGGCCGCCTGTGGGTCGCCGGGTGCGTTGTGGCGGCGCGGCCGAGCACCAAAAAACCGCGCTCGGTGTCTTGTTACAGCTGGCGTGCTATCGCGGCCGGCCCGGCCGGCCGACGCCCGCCGCGCTCGTGACTGGCGCCGGGGCGACCCGGCAACGCCGCGCCCTCGGTTGTCGTGGGCGGACGCATGGCAGACCAGAGGATCGGGAAAGCCGATGCAATAACGTTTAAAGGGGAAGCTCCACATTTGAGGATAGCAAACCAAGCATCAGATATAATCGAATAAAGTCACTTTTAAATATTGACGTACTTTTAAATGGAAATGACTGCCCCGGACCACACGATCTGTCTATTTAGTAAATACGCTTCTCAATGCATTATTGTTTGATCACGTCCTCGTACCTTGCTAAACATTGATTGAGAGCCAACTGAAGGCCGTTATATCTGGAAATCGTGCTCGCGAACGCCAGATACGAACAACTCGACAAATACATTTGCCTTGGCCTTGATCGTCGCATAGCTAATGGAGTGGCAGGATTTCAATGGCGTTATTACGTCGTTCATGAAATTCTGGATGACCTTGAAAATCCCTCGAAATCGTCTGCATATCTTCGCAGGCGGGTAGCTCAGAAACTAGAGGGGTTTAGGTCTCAAGAAGGGCTGGGCTGTGAACTGCACCGAATGGTTTTTGATGGCTGTTTCATTTCAAAACCCCATACAAATGTGGAACACTCGATTTAAACAAGCTCTCCGGCCATGGGAGGAAGTTTTCGGGTTAGTTGAGGCCGTAGAGAGCTGGGCTGCACCATTGCGCATTGGAAGACACATACATCACGGTGCGAAATCATGACGTGATTTCAAGTTCTTTGTTTAGGAAACGCGACGCACGTCGCCATGCCTCTTCTTTAAGCAGTCGTGACTGCATTTGCCATATTAGCGCACAGATGCCCCGGCGCAACCAGGATTCGAACCCGGCCCGTGTGTGGGAGCCTAATGCTCTTACCACTCCGCTATTACCCCATCATGCCCTTTCTTGTCCTGCCTTCGGTCTATCGCGACCAACAAGTATGCCGGGTTACTTTTCCTGAACTGAGGTCTACTGCAGACAAGCACGTGTCTCCGTATCGGGGATCCGGGACAGGCGGTCGACCTGTAATGGCCTCTCAGCGCACGGGACACGGAGCACGGCGGCCGCCAAATCACGCCGCCCTCGTCAGCGGCTATCTAATCCGACCGGGCCCTCCGGCCGCCACCGCCTCGGTCGCCACTTCAGCGCGATACGGCCGGGTCAGCAGGGCCGCCCCGACCCGTCGTGTGCCCGCATCCCAGCAACCGCTGCCGGCGGCGTCCGGCGGACGGATCGGTCCGGCCCGGGGCGGATCTCCCGGCCACCGCTGGACGCTGACGGCCCGTTATCGGAATCACAGCGGGGCGAGGCTCCGTCAACCACTAGCCCATGCGCCTGCGAATCGCGTCCTGCCAGTTGCAATGAACGAACAAACGAGGAGCCATCCAGAGGTCGCACGGCCCAAATGTGGGCGCGCGAAGGAAATCTATCACTGACGTCACAGATTCCATCTGCAATCCGCAACTCAGTGTCCGATGGTCTGTGGGGGGTCTCCTAATCAGGGCGAGACATTCAGTTCACGGGCGTGCCCGGTCGCGGTGCCTCCTAACACAGGACTGGTCAGCTGATGACCGGCCACCAGGTGCCGGCACAGTGCCTCCATATGGCCCTCTGTCCCCAGCCAATCACGGAACACCGTCCTGAAAGGCCACTTTTCTGATATCTATGTTTTTGGATGAATGCTCATTTATCCAGGGAAACGAGCGTAAAATCCACGCAGCTTATCAGAAACTACGCAAAACTTCATGGAATCAAAACCCCTCGGGCTTTTGCCACATTGTTTCACGTGAGATTCAGCGGCACTGATAACGCAGTGACCCAGTACGGGCCTACCTGATAAACTAAGCCTCGCCCAGCCCCAGCGCCACTTTCCGTAATCGGGACCAACCAATGGACGGCGGGTCATGCTCATCGTTGAGGACGAGCGAACTCGAAGCGCACAGACTGTCCGTGCCGGCGCTGGTACCGACAGCAGCCTGTTCACATACACGGTCCGTGACGCATCTGCACCGGTGACCTCGCTACAGCCGACCGCCGCTGGCGATCGTCACTGGTGACCGGCCGGGCTCAGTGCCCTGTGACCGGCCGACTGGTGACTCACGTGTCGCGACGGCTCTTCGGGCCACCGCCGTCCCACTCTTGTACTGTCTGTCTGGTGTCTGGGTGACGCAAGGCGTGCAGGCCCAGGCAATGCGGGTTTCACAGGCGGTCTGGGCGCGTATATCAAACACGCACCGCCAGCCGCGCGGCGGCGCGTCACTTAAGTCATATGCAAGCCTGGGAGTGCACAGCGGCAGCCTGGATACGCTCGTGCCAAGCGTCCAGAGGCGATAGATCTTGGTTCTGGCCGCCACCGCCCGCCCTGCACAACCTGGCCCCCGGTGCAGGCGTGTGTGGGCAATACGCAGCGCCTCACTTTCTATGTCTGGTTCTTCCACGATCCAGATCACACGAAGAAGAGCTGAGAACCCCGTCCGCATGCTGCGTCCGTCCAAACAGCCCACGCTGCGCGGGCAGGCGTGCGTCACAGCTACGCACGGAGGCGCGGGACCCGTCCCACAGACAAACTTCCAGCTCCAGTATGCGTGGCCCGGCACACCCGAACGACACCCACACACTGCGGGGCGGTGGCGGTCACGCCAGAACGGCGTCCAGTGCCCTCTCCTTCGGCGCCGTCCGTTTTAGCTCCGGGACCAATATGTCGGCAAACTCCACAATACGCCCGACCACAAAATGTCTCCCACAAATCATTTTCATAGAATGAGCTCCAGACTTCTACTTGATCTACGGAGGATCTGGAAGTTGGACTGAGGTGTGAACTATCTTTGAATGTTATCCCACTTCGAGGCCTTTGTGGCCTGTGCGCCGCTGTAAGTTCTTTTAAAACGCTTTTTGCGTAAGCATCTCCAAACTCAATGAGTGCATCCAATGACTCGAGTCGTAAGATTCAATGGTTCTGGTTTAATTGTACCCACATTGCCACACCCTCTACAAATAACTGCACGGACACACTGTATACACGTGGGGAGAAGAGCGATGAGGTTTCTTCCAAAACACGCCGTTATTGCAGATTTCGGGTTTTGTGTTTGTTTTGTTTGTGATGTGGTAATATGGGTATCACACTGGCGATCAAGACAAGAGCTATGGGATCAAGGTATGTCCAAGGAGATTAAATGCTCCACCCGTAAGCCCTGCTTCGACAAACAAACTGACGGCTTCGCCACACAACTAACGAGCCTCAGCTATGGGTGCTGGCCGCTTCTGGTCTCCGTGTTCATATCAGCTCTCAACATCCAACTCTCCCGACGCGCAACAAAACATCGGTTTGGCTCCGAACCAGCGAAGATGGAACGCCTACGAAAGTGGCCACTAGGTGCGGGTCAAGTGCCCTTTGCACAGAACATCGCATTCACACGTCGCCTGCCCGTGAGAATGGTTCACAAACTCCACGAGAAACTAGCCATGCTCGCCCTCTCCCCCCCCCCCCCCTCTCCCGCCGTTCCTGTCCCCGAGCTGCGAGCGTCCGGCACGGCCTGCAGCCGACACTGACCTCTAAGCATCTGGAACGACGAGGCGTAGGTGAGGTTGAGACCGACGTACATGGTGGACGTGCCGATCATGTCGCACATTGCCGGCGCCAGGAAGATGAGCGGGTTGAAGCGCAGGTTGCCGTTGGTCAGGTTGCTCGCCTCCAGGCGCTCACGGCCGCCCCTCCGCTTGAACACGAGATAGACGACAAAGAAGGCATACATGCAGGAGAATTCACCCACGAACATGGAACATGCTTGCAGGAATGGGTGGACAAAATGCACCAGATGCCCCTCGCTGTTCACGCTCTTGATGGTGTCTGCCCATCTGGAAAGGAAACATGTCTGTCTCAGGCCATTATTCTGTGCTCTGCCACCAGCCACCTCACCACATCCTGCACAATGCACTGACTGAATCAAATGCACATCTTGGGCAATCTTGGTGTTGATGTGCACCTCCCTACCACAACCAGGGTGACAACAGCACACAATATTTGGCCTTTAAATCAATATATAGCCTGAGGCAGATCATTTGGCTTGTAAAATGTGCTATTCTTATTCATGATACACAGTACCAAACATCTTCTGAACATCCCCAAAATGTGTTTTAAATGTGTGAGGCACAATGGCAACATGTTTGATACATCTCTTAGTTTAACCATCACAGTACAAATGCCTTTTCCCATTTCTGCCATTTGGTGGAGTACTTTGGAAGAGGCTTTTTTAGTGAAATGTGGCCTTTAACCCTGCTGCAAGGCACTGCAAGGGGTTCCACTTATACCTCTATAACAATACATTATGCACATACATACTAGCATCTGTCATTAATGTGTTTTTGGTGTTTGGGAGCAAATATAATGCAACACTTTCAAAAAGCACATATTGAAAATACGATCATAACTTGTCACTCTTCAAAAGTATGTCATATTTTACATGAACTTTTGGTCACAGACCTTGATGAACACAAATATGTGTGAAAAATTTAGTATCTGCTCCTAGGATTGAAATTCAGTGAGCACAATTTTAATTCTGTGAGCAATGTCCATGATCAATAATTCATTCAAAATAAAACTAACCCAACATATCATGCAGATGTGTTACAAGGTCATCTAAAATCTTGTTAAAGGGTTAAGATTGGTAAAATACTCACTTTGTTGACAGAGTGTTCAGTGAGCCAGTGACGACCATCAGGCCAGCCAGAAACAGCTGATAACTTGTCCATGCCATCGTTACAGGTTCAGTGTGGAAACCGTTGCGATTAAAGTAAAGGAAGCACAGAAAAGTAGAGCGTCAGGCGCAGCCTGCTAGAGCGATGCCACCCGAGCCGCTGCTTCCACACTCAGCGACTGAGAAAACCCTGCCGGGCAGACGATCAGAGCTAAGAAGATAACACACAGCAAGATAAATTCACGAGATACAGCTGCCGCAGCATCGGGCAGGCGCAGCCCAGCCGTGTCGTGTATATATTCCGGTAGACTTAAAAACGACACTTCTGACCGAACCGTGCTGCAAGGCTACCAGATTAGGGAAGTTTTCTTACTGTCCTCACCGGCAACTTCTGCTGCCAACAGCATATTGACAGGCGAGATGAATGCGCATAAAACACAGACGTGACACTTGTGGAGAAGTAGGTGCTGTCACATGCAAGCAAAACGAAACAGGACAAGAACGAGTCAGGGAGCCACGAAATGAAAAAAGTTAACAAGCTTTGAGATACATGCCCAAAATAACGAATTGTGGAATAATTTTTGACTGTCTTGGCCATGGCCATAATCATGACTCTGAGACTGCGGGGACAATCAGAATTGGAGGCGTGAGACTGGAATCTAGAGACGGCTTGAACTGAAAACGACGTTTTGAACTAGAAGATTTGAAACAAATAAACATTCTATAGGCAAAATTCGAAGAATTACACACATGGGCATACAGTACACATATGGCACGTGCAGAAATCACGTTTTCCGCCCCACAATATCCATAGGGGTTCCGCCATCACTGGACATGACATGGCAGCCAGAAGACAGGAGATGGAGGATAGATGGCAGTAGAACAGAACGAGATTGGTTAGCTCCCGGAGCGGGATGAAAGAGCAAAGGGTGGAACAGGATAGAGGAGAAAATGGCAGCAAGGGGCACGAGGTGACGGAGTAGAGCAGCAGCCGCCACTGGGACTTAACGGCATACCCAGCTGCTGAGGCTATATGGTGTCGCCTGCCTCTCATCCCAGCAGGAAGAGCGGGCACCGCGGGGGATCGAACCCGATACCTCTGGTTTCCCAAACGTGAAGTGGTTAACCGTTAACCATGATGGAACAGCAGGCAAGACACGCCAGGACCGGCATGGAGATGAGATGACAGAACAAGCCAATAAAGAAGGTAACACGACACAGCATAGCACATACTGAGGATGGGCGAGAGGAAATGCGCCAAAACAAATCGAGAATAAATGTTTCTTTCATTCTCACACCATTTTCATGTGAGCCTTGGCTCTTTATATACTCCTCCTCCCTGCCTTCTCTTTCCACCCAGCACTGCCTAGTGTCCCCTTGAATGTGGAACACCCCACCACGATCTACGACCGGGGCAGGCGGTGGGCGGCAATCGACGGTTCCGCGTACCGCACATGGCGGGCATACCATGTACATTAGCGGAGCTATACATCATAAATGTATGTCATATGCATATAAAACTACAATCATCTTACTCAGAACTGTTCAAGGAACACGCTTATTTTAGTTCCGTGCTGCTACGGGGCATGATCTAGAAAATATGAGCATGTAAAGCTGAACAAGTTAAATGCCCAGGAAATCTGACGTCCGATCTGACATAATGGGGGTCAAATACCGAACTACAACAAAAACACTGTTACCAATTGCAAGGTCTCGTCGATTCAAATCCACTGGTGTTTTCCAATAGACGATGAGCGCGTTTGGCCAAGGGCAAATTATTCACCGAAGCTGGTCTTCGTAGGTTATTATCTCTCCGATCAAAACCTACGAAAATCCTTCATTTGCGTTCGGCCGATCCGGAAATGATCCCCCAGATTCGTTTTCCATGCGCCATGCACAGCAAACGGTCATAAATATCCATAGCAAAAAGATGATAATAATCCGTCTTGACTGAAAATTGGCCAGGATTCCCTCCTCGATGCGGAAAATTATCTGGGATAATTACCCGTTTGGGCAGTGACGAACGTCATGCCGGAAAAATTCCAACATTCTGGACACTGTTCTGTTTTGTCTGCCGGCCGAACGCACCCTTTATCTTCTTAGTTTGGTAATGACGGAGGGCGATCGCATCGACCTCGCTATGAGCCTGTTTTACGAAAAACGGTGAGTCAGGGCGAGGTGGTTAATTATCACTTACGTTCTCTCTTTCAAGTACACGGCCATGTTCATGTGCACTGAGCACGCACGCGATGAAGTAACGACCTCATGTTGCAGGGGTGTATTTTCCTATTCAGTAGGAGTCCCAGGAGCACAGTCAAAGCCTTGGCAAGGGAGGGGGGGGGGGGTGCACATGGAAGGGCCACCTGATAGTAAAAGCCCCCTCCCCTCTCCAAGTCATCAGACATGTCCCATTTGTTACTGAGGACATATTTTTCTTAGATATATATATATATATATATATAAACATTACACATTTTTGCGTTCTATGACTGGAGCATAAAAAGACGCTACCGGAATATCAACTGTGCCGTAAGTTTATAATATATAAGCTGACAAAATTATATGTTAAATGACCGCATGCAATAAATCACCGGCGCTCCACATTTTCCATTGGTCCTGTGAACTCTTTCTGAATTGAAATAAGTCCCAAATTTCATTCGAATTTGTATTTAGGTTGAGCAGAGGCAGCAAGGATTCTGCAAATGTAGATCGAAAATCAAAATGGGTCAACAGTTTGTACTAACACGGCCAAGCCATCTTTGTATGGATATCTTCATCATCCAGTCAGGAATGATTAGTGGTATGAATCAAGTAACGTAGGTTTGAGCGTGCGCGCTCGCATATTCTAGGAACAAAACAAAAAACTTGACGTCAGGCGTTACAGTCTCCTTGGGTCGCGTAATCTAATAATCACCCAGAGTAATTTTTGAACTGTACGAACGAATTTTGAAAGACATTTAGAAACATTATTTTACGATGGTTATTGCGCCGTGCTTGGTGCCTGCCCCCTGGCGTTGCTTGCAGTGGCCAACGCCGTTCAGTTGGTCATTGCAAGTAACGAAAACTGCGACCCAAGCCGCCGCTATACTTGCGTCCCCGAGATTACGGGCGCGTCACTGGGGCTTTATGAAACACTCAGCTGCTGAGGCTATATGACGCCGCTAGTCTCTCACCCTGACGGATATAGCGCGCACCGCGGAGAATCGAATCTCGTATCTGCAGTTTCCCAGATGCGGAGTGGTTAACGCAGGCGCGTTAACCACTGCGCTATCAGCATCCGGCGCAGGCTCAAAGCTTTTCATAATCTTTCTTCCGCTGGTCGATTCTGCAAAATAGCAAACGATCTCAGGAAAACATGGTGTGTGCCTTTTGCGTTTCGAGCTCAGTTTGATCCACTCCATTCAACACTAATGAGACTCATTTATTTCCGGTAAAGGGACCCCTTTGAGTACAACTGTACGGGGCACATTGTTGTTCCCGGTCAAGAGTTGAAGGGCCATTCTGTCCCACTGCGGTGTGCTTTCCGGTCGTCGTTCTGGCGACACGAGACGGCATCCCTGGCCGATCCGGAGGCCCTTAGAGGGATACATCATATCGCATTGGTCCGCTCCATGACGCGGAAGACCTTCTGACCCGTGCGGTTTACTCCGGATCGACGCATGAACTGTCACGAACGCAACAACATGCCTGCTCACCGCAAGTGGTCAAATAATTGGCACTTAGGCTCCAGTTGGGCTCAACGGGCCCGTACTGGCATTGGGATGGAGGGCCCACCGTTCGGAGCTGGGGCCGCTGACTAACGCAGAATCTTTATATTGCCTTAATCTGGGCACTCATCATAAGTCCTCACGTTTCCTTTCGTTGTTAGAGGGCCCCGACCAAACCAAGGAGCCCTCTGTCATCCAGGGTCCCGTTTCTGTCGCTGTTCAGCAAATTTTCCCTTGACTGATTAAAGATCCCTTGTTGATAGAGAACATCCTGTTGTGCGCTGCGGGCCCCTGGACGATACCGGAGCCCGACCAAAGAAAATCGCGGGCCCGGCCTTGTCTCTGCTTGGGAAATGGCCCCAGGGATCAGACCAACACGGAGGCTACTGTTGTTCGTGATCTCCGGCCGAAATAGAAGAGTGCTCTGTATCAGGGGTCCCTATCGGTGCGAGAGATCATCTCACTGACATTTGGGATCATGGCCCTATGACTTTATGGGTGGGATCCTTAACTTAGCCTACAGCCAGCCCTTCGGACCCTTCAAAAATCCCATCGGGCCCTTGATCATTGGTGTCGAGAGACCATTTGGCCGCTCTTCGGGCCCCCCTCAAACGCCGCTCCGACTCGGAGCCCCTTGTCACCACAGGACTCCTGTTCGGCACTGTGGCTCCTAACCGTCACTGTGTCCGTGACTCCGAACATTGCAAATCGCGGATTCCGGCCTCGTTTCTGCTTGGGAAACGGGTCTCAAGGGCTCAGACGGATATGGACTCGACTATTCCGTGTTTGTAGTCTCTGGCTGACTTAGACACAAGCATTGTTTCAGTGGTTCCTCAAACGATGTAAGAAGACATATGACGTGTATTTAAGGTCACGATCCTATGGACCACAATTTTTATGTGACATCTAGCCAGTCCTTCGGGCCCCTATGCCCTCAGACCGGGCCTTTGATTGTCGGTGCCGGTGGGCCGCCCGAGCCCCTCTTCGGGCCTCATCGAAGGCCCCGAGCCCTTGGTTGGCTCGGGGCCTTTACGAGCAGAGGGCCCTCTGTTAGGCGCTGTGGGCCCCTGACAGATGTAAGGCCCCCCGACCAGTATAAATCACTGGCTCCGGCTTCATAGCTGATTGGGAAGTGGGTCTTCCCCATACCGACATGGAGCCGACTGTGTGGTACGTGACCACGTACAGAACCATAGTAACTCAGGGGGTCCCCGCTCGGCGCAAAGGGCCCTCTGACCATTATTTGAGGTCCCGTCTTCGCAGCTCAGAACCCCTGAATAAGACTCCGACCGTGAATCAAGTACGTCTTTTATGTCAAACTCCAAGCATTCTGTTTAATGAGATTCGGTGGCAGTAATCTGACCAGAGCTTCACGCTTGAAAGAACTTGACGTTCCACCCTGCGCATTTCGGTCACCTCGCTCAGCGTTGCTGCCTTCCTGTCTTTGAGTGAACTTCAAGACTTCTTACGACCGCACTGCCACCGCGCTGGTGCATTGCGCTTCGTCGCGCACCCACAGCGGCTCATGCTGTTTAGTCGGGTATTTCGCGG